GCTTCTGATTGGTTGAATCAAATTTCCCACGCGGCACGACCAATCAGAAGCACTACCCAGATCTGGGTAAAAACGGATTATCAGTATGGAATTTTCTGCGCTCGTTTCTCACACGTCATTTGGCGGGGAAACCAAAGGTAGCGTCGCCAAATGCCGGCTGTTTTCTCAGGCTAAAGCAGCTTCGACTGCTGCAAAATTGCGTGCAACAATGTCCGCAGCTTACTCAGATAACAATTTAGTACAGCATGCACCATCCTGCAAGGAAAGCCTCTCTTTAGCTTGCTTGATTTTGGCGTATTCGATGAAAGACTCGGCATGAATCAAGTAACATCTTTGTTGAACATGCGCGGCATGTTGCTAGGAAACCGTTTCGAACCCAAGCATAAGAGCCGTGCACTTGGTACAGTGGGCTAAGTTATGACTTACGGTTTATTTTTACTCGGTTGCTCGTCCTCGAAAAAAAAAAAGACAGTTTGACGAGATGAAACAAGATTGACTAGTTGAGAAGGAGTTCGGGCTGCGGCGACTGCAAAGGCTTGACTTTATTCAGGCAGAGATTCTAATTCTCTTCCTCATCCAAGAAGACAAAAAATGGCTCTACCTACAAGGTGCGCATCTACTAGCCTTGAGTTAGTCCTTGTTCAAAGCACCGAGACACAAATTTCCTTTCCGTAACAGTCGCTACCATTTTTACAATGAAAAAAAATTGACCTGTTATTGAGAGTGTTTGTATTAAAAAGAACGAGGGCCGCAATCCAGTGTTGAACCCGGACCTTTCGTATAATAATCTCTGTCCCTTACCACTACACTACCACATCGACACACCAAAATTCCGAAAATTTTAAGTACATAAACCAGCAGACTGTCTTTCTTAACCGATACATCAATAACAGGTGGCCCTACAGGGAATATATTACATCTGTCATGACTAAAGGCTTGGTTGCCAATGGTGGCAGCGACCGTTAAAAATAGCAACGGCCGTTTACGAAAGGAAAATAGGCTGCACCGAACCTTAGCACGTTCACCGTATATATAAAGGTTTTCTGTTGTAGAGTGTGCAAGTAGATCGAAATCCTTTCATTCCACACGAACCAAACGTCACACACATCATAAGCCATGACACCCGCTGTCGTGACTTGGAAGGAATAGTCAGTTCTAAACTTTGTTAAATGGATTGTACGGACGAGTTAAAGTCACCATCTTTGACATTGGCCCTTTGTGTCTGAATGGTGACAGTTGAACTTTTGATGGCAGTTTGAGCTCCCTGTTGACAAGAAACGTTCAAGATTCAAATAATGTTCTCCTTAAAACAGTTCAAATGGAAGCGAGGCAGAAGGAGACAGAAGATATTTTAACCTTTCTATTTTTTTTTTTACATATACAATTTATATGATGACGTTCACAGCCTTTTCAGCATAAGAATGACACGATATGCACATGAAACAAAACAATGTCATCTAGCTCGCCTTTATTCAAAGGCCTGGACAATGAGCACACAACTTTAGAATGGTCTATCATTCACCATTTTTATTCATTTGCCAGTTTGTTCTTTTTCAATTAAAAAAAAAAACAATATAAAGTAAACTAGAATTGGGTTCATCATCAGATGAAAAACCCCGAATTTCGTCAAAAATTCTGAGCCGCGCGTTGTATTTTCAACTCTTTTTTCGGTGTTTCATCTGGTGATGAAACACTGCGTCTCATGCTTGATACTCAAAGAGTTTTAAACGGCAAACAAACACACTCAAGTCCGAAAAGAAACTCGGCTGCACCTAGAGTCTTACCCACTTTATCTCAAATAATCTCAGAGTTTAAAAGTCCTGACGAGACAATCTGAGCGACCCCCGATCAGTATATACCCATACCTGTGAACTCTTGCCGTTGTACAAGTTTTTGGATCTGGTTCTCTGCTGTGACTTGGATGATGAGCTGAAGACAGCACACAACCAGCGTAACCAGGAATATTACCACGCCTGACAACACGGAAATAAATGTGTTAAGGCCAATGTCAGCAAATTAAAAGCTGTAGTAAGAAATGCACCATAAATCATTTTACAGAGTTAGGCTCTATTTACCAATAAACGTGAACAAAAAAACTTACTTTGCTGTGTCTGTATATCTCGGTTTTGAAGTCCGCAATACAGCGATAGGAATAAAGGTTTTTCTTGGATGATCTCTTTCTCCGTAACCAGGGGAATGTCCACTAAAAAAACGAAAACGTAGCACTTACAGGAAGACAAAGAACGGGCTACTCCCTGAGGGACTCTGTTAACAAACTAATTGTCCCATTCCCGCGAACTAACTTCATGAAGAACAGTTTCAGTTCCCTGGAACAGCCTGCCCTGTGATATGAGAGAGGCTAAATAAAATCTTTAAGTCAATTTAAAAGATTGGCTCATCTGAATTCTTGATTTTTTAAGTAATTGTGTACACCGCATTCATGAAAAACAGGTCTTAGCTAGGTTAATTGTAGATAGTTTTGCATAGTGTTTAGGGCAGTTAGGTTTATTTATTTATTTAATTCTTTATACTCCTGATGAATTTTACCGTGTTCAAAATAAAGAATTATTTTATTCTATTCTAAATCCTCTATTTCAAGCCCATTTAAGAGGCGGGGGGTGGCGGGGGGGGGGGTTACTAATAGAGACAGGGGTCTTATTTGAGAGGGGGGCTTATTTGATTAAGAAAAGATGATGGTATCAGTTCTCCATAAACCATCCCGGATCAGTCCACATGAAGTTTTACAGTCATGATTGATTAATTCAGTCTATTCTTTATTAGTCGAGAATAATTAGGGCTGGGGAGGGAGGGGGCTTATTAGAAGATTTACGGTATTTGATGATTTTCCTCGTTTTAGTCTGTCAGCAATTAACTTCATGTACGAACAACTGACTCATGACTGTAAATGTTCTACAGGACGTTTCAAAATTTAAGCTTTCACATCACTTCCCCGGGGGGCTAGATACTTCCTATGGCCTATACAGGAAGGCTTCACCCAAACGGGGTACATGTACCTATTTCTAGGCCTCAGATATATGAAAGGTGGGAATCTCAGTTGAAGTATATAAAAGGGTAGTGAAATATGTCATTTCCCTCTGTAACAAGCCTAAAGAGGCATTTCAAAAACGTTTTGTTTTTATGATTTATCCATATTTAAAATATAGTGTTTTTGCAGCAGTTAAAGGGATGCCAGGCTCTTATTAAACTACATGTAGGTATATGAAAGGGGTGCCATTTGTCAAAAAGAGATATACAAAAGGTGTACGTTTTCAGCCAAAAAAGGTACAATGTATATACAAAGGTAAGGGGTTGGGCCTCAGGGCCGAGCCTCTTTGTATAAAACTTTGTTGAGTACCCAACGGATCATATTATTTCACATTGTCAACAATATAGGTAAAATGTATAACACACAAACTGGGTTACAAACTTCAGAAACAACAAACGCATTGTATAACTGACTTTCATAATAATTCCAACTTGAGGCAAAATGGTAGTTTAAAAGTCGTTCCTAATGGCCAGATCAAGGTAAAAAAATAAATGCAAAACAAACCTGTATCCCGGAATGTGCCCAGTCTTCTTGCTTGGGCTGCAGCTATAAACATAAAGAACAATTCATGTCAGGATAGTAAAATAGGTTTCATTCCACCACATGTGCAGAATAGTAGTAATCATTGTCCCATCCTGAGTGAAAAAAAAAACTGCTAGACTACAAAACAATCCATTTATTTTTCCTCAATACTAGTTTTTACAGCGCTAACCATTGGCATGAGATTTTAACATCCTAATCATCGCTGAAGTCCTTTCGATTGACTGCCAGCACATTCTTGACCTACCCAAAAATGCAGGCTGTTTTGCAAGCCAAACAACTGCCATTTAAAGACACTCGATACTTATTTAGTAAGATATTAAACCGCATAGAGTCATGTTACTTTCAACTTAAGTTTTAAACTATTTTTTTGTTTTAAACTTTTTGCCATTATTTTCTAAGGGCCCTTCCCAAAAGTCAGAGAACTGGCCTGCCCCACAATTGGTCATTTTAACAATGAATTTTTTTCCCTAGAATTTTGCAAAAACCTATCACTGCCGTGCACACCACCTAATTAAAAATAGACTCCATGACCCAGCTGGATAGTCCTGATTAATAGTAGAATGACTGGACTTTCTGGCCTGGCCTACTATTTCTACCAATCACAGAAGACACACAACCACACTCCTAGTATCTCACTACATGTAAGTCTACTGCAGCGCTGTAACTTTATAAATTTCAAGATCATTTCTACTACCCATTTGCTGCACTTATATCCCATTATGCTACACCCTGCTCATATATCACTGAGACAACTTACAAATTAGTGGGTCCATAAGTATGGTATCCATTCCTTGACTGCACAAAATCCCAGCTGTGCGGTCTGCTACCAATTTGCTAAAAACCAAAAATAGAAAATCAAAGTAAGCAAAACAACATTAGTTATTTTTTTATTATTCACAGTCAACTCTCTGTGATACAGACAGCATCTCTACAGTCAAACATCTTTTCCCAGGGATTTTGCTTAACTATCTATTATTATTATCAGGGTGTCCTTGAGGAAAGAAATTTGTTGTAGTAGAAATACAGTCTAGTGGAGCCTCAATAAACAAAAGGTCAAGGGATATACTGGTAACAAGGTTTCATTATATTATCAAGTTTTTTTACCAAATATTTTACAGTTACTGGGGTAAACAATTTCAATAATTACCCATATTGAGGACTCTGCTATATATATATATATATATATACATGGGTTTGTTTATATCAATGTTCCACTGAATCTCTGACTCAAATGACTAAAAGTGATGAGACCTGTTTTGATTGACAATGTAAACAAAATACAAAACCCTAGCTAACCTGCCAAGTTTCAGCCTTGGGTGCATATCGCTTGTTAGCAAATCTGTAGGACACCATGTCTGGCTGCCGCTCGACTGTAGTGGGCGGGGGAGGGAGGGAAGGGGGAATTCTGGAGCTCCAATCAACTCCACTGTATAACCTGTTGACAAGGAAATTAAGAAGGACATTAGCATCTTCTCAAATCTATGTGTAATTCCAAATAAGACGAACGAAATAAATGTGGAATTTCCTGGACATCAAATTATGCAGCCAAATGAGATATTACCAAATAAATCTCTTTCATTTAATCAGTGGTCAAACATGACTGAAATTTATAAGGGTCTATAGATGTAACTTGAATGATCAATCTCTGACATAATTTTTGAATATGTACGATTATAGCCAAGGCTAATTTACTTCAAACAATAAACTTGCAACCAATGTAAAGAAATCCACTTAGAGATGAGCCTGTGATCTGTTAAAAACTAGTAACTTAAGATTATTGTCAGCAGAGAACATAAAGAACCACGTAACCTCAATGGGTAGACACCTAAGCCCACATTATGGTCATGTGCTACTCAGGTCAGGAGACACCCTTGTTTGACAGCTGTTAATTGACCGCAAAATAAAAGTACAAAATCATGTGGCAGGGTCCCACACCAGTTATAAGGACTGCATAATTGCTTTCTGTGGTGTGGACAGACGGGCAGACACATAAGATGACCACGAGAGTACCAAAATTTCTTGGATGGATGATAAACAAATTGTCTTAGCTATATGGGCGTGGAGCTCTGCTATTTTCACAACACATGCAGTCAGAATACACGTGTAACCTGTATTGTAATCATGTACTGTTCTAATAATAACTGTACGACTGCACTTTTTTTATTTCAGGGGCTTAGAGAACTGCTGGAATTTTTCTGGACTAAATTTAAGAAAATTGTCACTTTGACAAACAAGCAAAAATATTATATATAAATTTTACACACTTTTGAGTTTCTGATGTATAAAATGCTCTGGTGGCAACAGCATCTCTCCATTCTTTGTTCTTTAACAGTTCACTTGTAGGAACCTTAAAAAACAAATATTAAATAAATAATAATTTCAAAGAATAAGAGATTATAATTGGTAATTAAGAAATTAGTAAGAAGCCACTGTCAGTAGGTTGCTGGGGAAGGATTCGTTCATACATGAGAATTTTGTTTTATTGAAAAGCAATATACATTGATGTTAAGTATGCAGTGATTAATTTTGGGGTAATACGGCACATGTCTATAAAGAACCCTCAGAGTTTTGGTTAAAAAATGGAAGAGAAAAGTTAGTACTACTTTAATTATGATCTACTCATGAGCTTGGCCTACTCAGTACCCTATTTTCTGATTTAGTGAAACTTTTTCTAGACTAATCTCCATGGATATTAGGTTCAAAATAGCTAAACCAAGAATGAAGTAAAAACTTTTAGACTTTCACGAACAAAGTTTTTGCACATAAAATTTTCAGTACGATGATAGTTTTGTGTTTTTTTAATACTCAAAGAGTTACTTCATGTTCATGTAAATTTGTTGAGCTACACTTTTCAAGCTATCGTCCATAAAGACTGGTTTTCAGAGTCAAAGTAACAATCAGAAGAGTAGAGCATTTATGATCCACTAAAAACAGCATTCTGATTCTGCTGATGACTCCATCATGCACTTATGAGGTACCCTAGTGAATACTTGGTTGTCAGTATCGAGAGCAGAAGTGCAAGAACTAAACCAATTACAAAGCATGGGAAAAAGTATTGTGATTGATTTATCCTTCCACTTCTGCCTCCAAATCCAACAGTCTGGTTTTCACTAGACTGTAAGCAATGTTGGAATCTTAAGTGGAGTGGAAAGAAGAAATTAATGGGAATGTTCTGATTCTTCTGACCTAGATTACGCCTCCGCTTACAAATCTCAAGTATTTTAGCACTCTTACAACTTCATCTCCAGAGAAAACCTGATCAGCAAGATCAGAGCGAGGTATATAAATATTATCTTTAAGCTACCTTTTGTGATGCAAGGTCTTTTGCCTCTCTTGATCCGGGAAACTGACTTGGAGATTGCACAAGCTGTTCTAGCTCTAAATAATGATAATAAAATTAGTGACTTCCAGCCATCCAACAGGCAAGAAACGCTTGAGAAAACACTTTCAGCCAGTTTCATAGTATAGGTGCTTCTGGCAGTACACCGGAAAGCCCCATGGGAATGTAGGAAGCGTGACTGAACATTGTCACGCACAACCATACATAGTAACGTAACTCATACATGGTAATATAATGGAGTTCATTTTTCTGCCACTGTGATAACAAATTTAAATCAGTGAAAAAATGTAACCGTAATACGTCTGGTTAGAGAAAATAGAAAACACTTAGTTTAAACAAAAAGCACTGAGTGACAGTTTACGGTTGTCAACGCTTGCGTTAGTTACAGTCACAATACGAGACCTTACCTTTATTTTTGGTTTCCCAGGGAGCATTTTGACTTCTCAAGTCCGGAATAGGTGAAACAATAGGTCTACCATACGGAACAGCCGACTGTGGCCGGTGATCTTTGTTCACTAGAGGTTCGATCTGTTTATAATTACCATCTTCCGCATCAGCACCTACCGAAGTAAAGCCACTTATAGGATCGACAACCGGAGTATCACTGCGTCTTGGAGCGTCCACACGACGCTCTCCTTGCTCAGCAAACCGGCGGAAAAACGCCTCGTCTTTCTCTTGAAACGAGGGAATGTCATAAGTGGTAAACGTAGAGGGAAATCTGCCGGCCGCTTGTTGTCGCTTTAGTCTTTGATCCGTCGCCACGGAGTCCTCGGGTAGGTGGAGACGAAATGTTCCGAACGGAGGCCGGGTGAGAGAAGAGTTTGACACCACGGCCATCACTTTGCGGTGAATAAACAAGTCTCTTAACTCCTTCTGATCATAACTGTGAATTAATTGTTGCTATGAATATTAGTAGATTTCTGATATTGATAACGAACAACTCCAGTGTTCTGGAACGCCGCGGCCGAATCAATTATCAACATGCGGTTGCTAAGGAAGCAAACATTGCGGGCTCAGTCTGGTTCGTCCAACCCAAAAAAAAATTCACCGAAAAGTTATCGCAAGTTGGACTGCATGGTGATTCAAAGTAAATTTATTTGAAGGTTCAGTGATTTTACAGGTGAATTTAAACAGCCTTTCTTTATATCCAAGCCAGCAAGCGCCCCGGACGGCTTCTTATGCCGAGTAAATTCATATCTCAGGTAGGCGCAATATGTCAGGGGCACCCATCAAGAATATAGTTCAAAACCACTTAAACGTAGTTTAAACGTAGCATTGTTGAACGTATTTTTGTATTTAAACGGAAGATATAGGAATATTATTATCCCCTAAAAGTTTTTCCTCTATTTGGATTTCCTAGCTGAAAGTCTAGTGATCCGAAAATTATAGGGATCAAAACTTACCTTTTCGAAAACTTTAGCCAGAAACTGAAGGCTCCCGAAAATTCTAGGTGACCTTTTTAGGGTAATACTCCGTTAAAAATGGACAAGTGTACAATTTTTTGGATGTTCGGAAATCCTAGGAGAGGCAGGCAAGCAAGAAATTTTTATTTTCAAATCGTCCCGACGAACAGATATTTTCCGAAAATTGACGTTGGGTTCCCATGATATATATGTACATATGTAACTGATACAATCTTTCAGATCTTTGTACGGAGTAAGTTTCAAACCTAAAAATGTATCAAATACATAATAAAAGTCCATGAAACCTATCACAATATCCTGCAGATAGCTAGCGTTGTCCTTAATGCTCACATAAAGTTTTAGGAAATCAGCTCATCCTCCCTTGGGCTCATCTTGAAAATCCTAGACAACAAAGTAAAGGAAAGAAAAGCAAGGCCGACTACAGGGACCGCGGAGGGGGAGGGGCTGGTAGGGCCGCGGCCCCACCACTTTTTGGCGCCCCGCCCCCACTTTTGGAAAATCAAATACTATGATTTTATTCCTTTTTTCGATTTTCAATATGAAAAAATTATTTTCAATTGTCAGCCCTCCCACTTTTCACCTTGTTCCGCGGTCCCTGGACTACAGTGTTTTATTCAGTATTTTTGACAAAGTGTTTGGATCAGAGCTTCACCCCACAAACCCCGACCCCATATATTGTGATACAAAACTGACCCTGAATATATCGAATTAGGGGCCGCTCTTCAATAAGGATGACTATCTAGACTACGAGTAGTCATTTTTCCACAGAGATAGTAGCAGTAGTACAGCTTTCACGCGCCGTCGCGTTCCGCCCGCTCTACTATCCCCGAGGGAAAATGAGGGACTACTCGTCTAGTCTAGGGCTGTTTACCATTTATAAAAAAAATTCCGGAAATTTGGTTGGGAATTTTCGGTCGGTAAAGAACGGTACGTGTCGTTTACCATTTACCTAAAATTTCCGGATTGTCGCCCCGCGCTAGACTGGATTCTAGTTACAACATGAAACTAGTACGAAACTCAAGAAACTTGTAAATGATAAACGAATTTTCATTCGGGATGTCCCAATGGGAAAACGGGACTACCTTTTCAGAATTTCCTTTTGTCCCGGGAATTTTCCAGTGGGACGAACCGCAAAAACGTTTACCATTTACATTCCAACCTGAATTTCCGGCAATTTGTGTGTAAATGGTAAACAACCCGGACTATCAGATGTTTTGGCGATCGCATGGATCGCATGGGATCTCCTGCGGCATTTCATAAATTAATTTGAATCCCAGCTGAGTTACTGCGCGATAAATGCAACCACGCCTTTGCCATCCAAAAAAACGTAAAGGCTAACAGACCTCTATTTTGGCGTTCAAATTTATGAACGGCTACTACGCCGTGTAAAATTCCTCCAGAGAGGTGTGAACGCAGCCTGAGATGAATTTTACCAAGCGGTGAACAGACCAGGGCAACCTCGTTCCCAGGTTCTCTCTCCTATACGTCTCTCCCTCTCTCTCTCGCTCCGTAGGGACGGGTTGAGGGACGGGTAGGAGAGAACCGTGGGGACGAGGTTGCAGACTAGGGCCGATTAGCGCTAACAAGGGGTTAAATTTTAATCCGGGTTTTCTTTCCTTTGGTTTAAAAGCATCTTCTCAAATAAATTTCCCTAATATTTTGTAGAGTTGATACAATCATCAAATTGTAGATAAAAATTTTTTTAATCAGTTTAAAAACTGAATTTGCCTTTTAAGCTTTCATGTCTGAATTCAAATTTGGCGCTAACCCCAGTTTATCTTAACCCAGCTTTGAACAACTCGGCCCTGCAGCGACCCGTTTCTCGAAAGTCCTGGTAACTTTTCGGGCCCGAAAAGCTGTTTTACGTTTGCCGTGTTTGCAGTTCAAGATCAATCAGTTTTCCATAATTTTGAAAATGTTACACTGTGAAAAAAATTGTTCGGTTTGTGAGCTAGGGACCGTGCTACTTTTCAACAGGTTTTCACTTCAAAATTTGCCTTCGGACTCGAAAAGTTACCGGACCTTTCGAGAAACAGGACCCAGCTCAGAGTGCTAATTTATTCATTTACCAAGTAGACAGCTGCAAGGGAAAGGTTACGACAAAAGAACACAAGTGTAAAAAACTTTGCTTTAAATATTTGAACAAAGCGAATTAAGTACGATCAGTTATTCTTGAAAGTGAAAATGACATTTTATTTACATGTAACATGAATACAACTTGCTTGTTTGTTGGGTCACAGGCAGCCTGTACGTACTGTAGGTCAATACCAGCTAGAATACATTAATATTTATCAAAATTTGATATACGAAGTGTACTTTTTACTTAGTGCACACTACCTCCAAGTGCAAAACGCGAGAAAATGCACAGATTTTTTCCAGCCACCAACAGCAAGAAAGCCGTTTTTTTAAAGGTATATATATGAGCTTTGTTTTGAAATATTTTGATTTCTATGCTCCATATATTCAGTCCGATCCGTTATCAGACTGTACGGAGAGTCGATCATAACATAAGATCGGAGCGTCGGATTCAGTTAGGAAATTCCTGTGGAAAAATAACCAGGAAACGTCAATAGACAATGATTAAATAGTGAAGGAACATTAAATTGGAACTATTACGTATATATATGTTGGCTCCTCCTCTGTCGAATATATAGCCGATCTGTCCGGCTCCCTCTTCTGTCGATCTCAGGAGTCTTCTGTCAATCTATCAAACCCTCATAATGTGCTATCACTGTCTGTGGTTGGACTAAATTTGCTCCGGGCTTTTGATACCATTGATCATGTTATCTTATCTTACAAGAAAGACTTAGAAACCCCGTTTACACAAGTCTGCGCAAATTATTGAAGAGACAAAAAATTGCACGGATCAGATCCTCCTTCGTTGACCCGGAACCCTCGAAACCATGCGAGATATTCGAACGGTTAACAGTGCAATTTTGGACCATCAAAAGTAGGTCAAAATTTTTGACCGATATACAATTGCGCTTTTACGCGGACTCATATGTAAACTGAACGAACCGTGCTTCTTATCATTTCTCTGAAAGTCCTTCAAAGAGCGATTCTTGCGGCTTTAAAATTTTCCGAATGATATGCATAGAAGAACTTAAACTTACCTTTAAGGTAAAACCAATTGCTGCTGTGCGGAGGGCAGTAAGGTTAATGTCAACTAAGGATCCTTTAGAATTTAGTGCATAATAATACACCGCTACAATATCGCTCTCGATGTAAGCACAAATCATGCATATACTGAAAAACAGAGTATACCGCGTGACACTTGCGTGCTTGTTTAGGATCATTATGAAAAGCGCATTACAGACTGTGCACAGAAAGTTGTTGGCTGCAAAATAAAAAGCCAGACCAGGCTGAGTTACATAAGCCTGAGAATATGGTACTATTATAGCAAGAAGAAGCAGATAAACGTTTGACGAAAACCAATCACTGCGAATAACTTTGGGATAGTTGGATGAAACGGTCCACGTGGCCTTACAGACAAACCAACTGTACATGAAAAAACAAAACACCTGAAAAGTTGACCACCATAGAGCTACAAATGTCGAGAATTTCCGGTAGTATACGTTTTTTAGGTAGCGTTCATCATCGCTTTGATCAAATCTGAAGAAAGACAGCCCTCCAGTAGATATACCTACCGGAAGAGCTGCTGTTATAAGAATCAGATAGCATAAATACACAGCGGCTTGGCAGAAACCTTTCCTGATGTGGTTTAAAATACTTGCAATTCCACATTGTTGCCTTGTAAAGCCATCACGCACCACATTAATGACAAGCGGCTGTTTATCATTTCCTGAGGCTGTTTCGTCGTTTGTTCCTGACTGTGAATGTTGAGGCTCCCTTTTGCTCTGTTCGCCTACTTCCTTGTTTGGATTTTCATTTTCACTGGCAGCAGTTTCGTTTCCACGCCTTTGATGTTCGTCGAGGTCCCGGCCAAAACATCGCAGCCACTGAAATTTGAACTCTGAACGCCTCATCCACTCGACAAAATACATCAATGGCCCAACGAGAAACCACAGACAAAGATAATCTAAGTACGATTTTATTTGTTTCAGTACATTCAAGTACGGCGGCGGAACCTTGATTTCAGCGTAAGCACTGTCTGCTTCTGAAAGCATGAAGCTGTATTCATTCTCACCAACCTGACTCGACTCGCTGTCGGATGACCAATTGAGACAAAATTTACTATACACTACCGGAATCAGCACTTTCTCTTTACTGATAGGTACAGTTGTTGGTAGATTCGGTAACTTAGACGTAAAGCTTGCATTATTGACGCCATTAAAACGTATTAAAATTGCATATCCTGCATTCTGTGCAGACAACGCCAGACGTTTTAGAGGGCACTCAGTTTCATTGGCAAGGGTGACAAGAGCGAACTTGTTCACTTGTGCACTGACTTTGCTCACATCATCTAGCGGTTGACAAGCATTTGTGAGGTTCAAATACACAGTTATCCCGCGTACAGACGATAGTATCTGGTTTTCCTCTGTTGCCATTGCGCGAATTACAGACTTCAACAACGGTGATTTGAATCCTTTGGTTTGTGACGTGGTCTCCGATAAATAGCACTGCACTCTTTCCGCATCATCTGTTGCTGGGGTCGAAGGTAGTGTCAATGTTGGGTTCCTTATACTAATGAGGACGTGTTGAGAGACCAGATAAAGTGCGATGTACACGGTCAAAGAGAGGAAACCAATGCAACTGCTTATAACTAGACACTTCCCCGACATCTCTGTATCCGCTGTCTCTGTTGAACACAGAGTCATCGGGCTCTTTGGTCAGCGGGGGACCAAAAGCAGGCGGTAGAAACGTCATCTATAGAGAATTGTAGCAGAGCTCTCGCGTGCGAAGCGCTCGAAGCGCGCGAAGCGAATCACCATGGGGAAGAAAATTTGGTTATCTACCCATACGAGAAATTTTGGTAATCACGTGACCGTACGCCCACACGCCCGCCCTCCCGCCCGTCCGTGCGCACCACAGGCATACCCGATCTGAAAATAACTCAATCGACAGGCATGGCAACCCAAGTGCAACTCGATGTAATTTTGGAAGGAAATCGCGTAGCCACCCGCGTCTTGTAAAGCAGTGACATCTAAAGAGTCAATAAAGACGAAAACGGAAAGAAGAAATTGCTTTTGAATCTGTGTTGTCCAAAGTATTAAGCGTAGATGAATTATCATGTCCACAAATTTGGAAAATAGAGCAAGAGAAAGACAAAGGAAAAGAGAAAGTAGGCGGCAGGCCAGCGAAGCTCAACGAGAAAAAGAGCGATTTAGATCTAGAGCGAGAGATAAAAAACAAAGGAGACATTTATTTGTTGGAGGAACAAAATGAAGATTTTGTAGCGGCGGTGAGAAAATGAGAAATGTTATCAGCCACCAATGTAAGGTGGAAATGAGCGGCAGTGAAACAAGTGAACGAGAACACCTACGACATTTCCTCCATAATAGGTGTAACTAGGAAGTTTCTGGAAGTTTCACGTCGAAGTCGTGCAAAACAACGGCAAAGAAATGTACAAAAAAGTGTACAGCACGTGCAAAGTTCTTTTTTTGCTAATTGGACCTATTGTTGTTTTTTACTGTTCTCCGGGGTTGCCTTCGCTGCTTAGCATTAAGGTCGGTACACACTAGGCGACAAGTTGCAGCAACAAGGTGGGACGACATGTCGCAGCGACAAATCGCTTCGTGTGTACTGGAGAATGTTTGTGAAAATCTTTGTCGCTGCAACAGAATTTTGTTGCCGCAACAAGTTGCGCAGATTCAGTCTGATTTGATTTTTTGCGACTTGTTGCAGCGACAAAATTCCGTTGCGGAGACAAAGATTTTCACAAAAATTCTCCAGTACACACGAAGCGATTTGTCGCTGTAGCGTGTCGCCTCACCTTGTTGCTGCAACTTGTCGCCCGACCTGTTTACCTGGAGTGATCTGTCGCCGCGACGTGTTGCTGCAACTTGTCGCCTAGTGTGTACCAACCTTTACACAACTTTATATTTTGTTTGAACAAGCTATAAATATTATCGAAAGCTTCGCTTTTAGCCCCGGCTAAATCTATTTATTAAATCAAATACACAATAAATAATAAATACAGTGAAACCTCTATTAAGCGGACACCTTCAGGACTATCCCAAGTGTCCGCTTAATAGAGGTTTGTAAAAATTGCGCAATGTTTGCTAACGATAAATTCAGCGATAACTCTGTTCTGTTCTGTTATAAAGTTCCATGTTGTTAAGGAAGCTAAGGAAGCTGTATGTGCTGTACTTTGTGCAAGACTTTTAGGTGAACTTTTCACAGCTAAATGTATTGATTTGATCTTTACAAATCGACTACAGTACGTATTTCAAGGACGTAATCCAATGCTACCAGGGATCTTAAGATCCGAGGACGAAGACGGCAGAGAAAACGTCGCTGAAAAAGTAGTGAATTCGAGTTTTTTCAATCTTCATCGCGATTACTCCATTAAGTCACTAACTTTGTCAAATGTAGGCGAACCTTCCTAAAGTTGATTTCCTAAGAACCATATTCAAGTTCAGAAAGAGAGAGGAAATTTCGTCGTCGCTTGTGTTCTTCCTCTGTGCGACCCTCTGTACATCGTGAATTAGGCATTTTCACGTCGTAGTCGTGCTGTGACGGCAAAGAAATGTACAAAAAAGCGTGATGCACGTGCAAAATTGTTGTTTTGCTAATTAAACCTATTGCTGTTGTGGCGTTCCCGTTGCCGTCGCCGTCGTCGGATCTTAAGGTCCCAACTATTTAGCTGACTATTGTCAATGTGTCTCGCTTAATAGAGGTTTTTAACAATAAAAATTAGCCAAATACAATTTATTTTAGTGTCCGCGTCCGCTTAGTAGAGGTGTCCGCTGAATAGGGGTTCGTTATAAAGGAAAATATAATACGTTAGGCCACTACCGTGTAGTACGGCAAGGCTTACCGTGCTACACGGCAGTAACACGACTTGGTTTCAAACGTCGCGCTACTGCCGTGCTAAAGTCGAATTTAATTCGAGCAATTGAGTTCGGCACGGCAGTAGCACGACGTTTGAAACGGGCTTTAGACTGCAATTCACCGCTTTATGGATTACCTGCTTTTGTTTAACTTTTATCATTGAAGAGAACACGTTTTCAAAAGAAAATGCATTGTGGAGCTGTTCAAAGCACTCAAAGCACGTGATTTATCCCGGCCTAAAACTTCTCGCTCTTCACGCACGAATTTTTGGCCAGTGATCACAAATCAAAGCCTGTGATCAGTGTCACTGGCCAAAAATTCGAGGAAATATGTGTGCATAACGCCGCCTAGCAGGCTCAAAAACGAGGAGGGAGGGCTAGAAAGAAGTTCTTCGTATACTCGGGTTGCATGTGAAGAGTCTACCGAAGAAAATCATATAACTTTCATTTTCATTAAAAGCGATGTCACATGACCTCTTAGTGCAAATGGCCTATTCCTATGGTGTGACCATTCAAATGAAACCTCTTCAACAGTACTTTCACATGGTACTATTTGTTTAGTATGTAGTTCAAACTTTTGAGACTGTGGCTGGAATCCTATGGTATTACCATTCAAATAAAACCTCTTCAACAGTACTTTCACATGGTACTATTTGTTTAGTATGTAGTTCAAACTTTTGAGACTGTGGCTGGAATCCTATGATGTTACCATTCAAATAAAACCTCTTCAGCAGTACTTTCACATGGTACTATTTATTTAGGATGAAGTTCTAACTTTTGAGTCTGTGGCATGGATGAAATCCTGTGGTGTTACCATTCAAATAAAATCTCTTCAGTAGTACTTTCACATATGATGGTACTATTTATTTAGAATTTAGTTCTCACTTTTGAGTCTGTGTATGAAATCCTATGGTGTGACCATTCAAATGAAACCTCTTCCGTCGGCNGTCTCGCTTAATAGAGGTTTTTAACAATAAAAATTAGCCAAATACAATTTATTTTAGTGTCCGCGTCCGCTTAGTAGAGGTGTCCGCTGAATAGGGGTTCGTTATAAAGGAAAATATAATACGTTAGGCCACTACCGTGTAGTACGGCAAGGCTTACCGTGCTACACGGCAGTAACACGACTTGGTTTCAAACGTCGCGCTACTGCCGTGCTAAAGTCGAATTTAATTCGAGCAATTGAGTTCGGCACGGCAGTAGCACGACGTTTGAAACGGGCTTTAGACTGCAATTCACCGCTTTATGGATTACCTGCTTTTGTTTAACTTTTATCATTGAAGAGAACACGTTTTCAAAAGAAAATGCATTGTGGAGCTGTTCAAAGCACTCAAAGCACGTGATTTATCCCGGCCTAAAACTTCTCGCTCTTCACGCACGAATTTTTGGCCAGTGATCACAAATCAAAGCCTGTGATCAGTGTCACTGGCCAAAAATTCGAGGAAATATGTGTGCATAACGCCGCCTAGCAGGCTCAAAAACGAGGAGGGAGGGCTAGAAAGAAGTTCTTCGTATACTCGGGTTGCATGTGAAGAGTCTACCGAAGAAAATCATATAACTTTCATTTTCATTAAAAGCGATGTCACATGACCTCTTAGTGCAAATGGCCTATTCCTATGGTGTGACCATTCAAATGAAACCTCTTCAACAGTACTTTCACATGGTACTATTTGTTTAGTATGTAGTTCAAACTTTTGAGACTGTGGCTGGAATCCTATGGTATTACCATTCAAATAAAACCTCTTCAACAGTACTTTCACATGGTACTATTTGTTTAGTATGTAGTTCAAACTTTTGAGACTGTGGCTGGAATCCTATGATGTTACCATTCAAATAAAACCTCTTCAGCAGTACTTTCACATGGTACTATTTATTTAGGATGAAGTTCTAACTTTTGAGTCTGTGGCATGGATGAAATCCTGTGGTGTTACCATTCAAATAAAATCTCTTCAGTAGTACTTTCACATATGATGGTACTATTTATTTAGAATTTAGTTCTCACTTTTGAGTCTGTGTATGAAATCCTATGGTGTGACCATTCAAATGAAACCTCTTCCGTCAGCAGTACTTTCATATGGTACTATTTTTCTTGAGTCTGTGGGCGAATTCCAGTAGTGTTACCATTCCCTGAAATGAAACCTTTTTGGCAGCACTTTCGCATAAACTATTCATCTCTGGGGATTTTTTTTTAAAAAACTGAGTTTTTGTGTGAATCTTTTCTTTGGCAACTATTAGGCATGAAAGGGTTAACAAGACTATTGACGTTACGTTTACACGGCACTGAATGAACTTTTAGACCAGCTGAAAAATTTGACAAGAAACTTTGTTCACACGAAATTCTTCAAGATTAACCTTCTGTTCACACGGAAATGATGAACCACGTCGAAGTTTAACCTATCTCAGTGGGGTTTTACTATCTACCCATGAAGAGAGCACTGGCGTCTCCCAGATGAGTTGCCACGCAATTAATGCAACCACGCCTTTGCCGTCCAAAATTCGCGCCGTTCAATTTTTCAACCGCACAGGCAAACAATGTGACCTCCTTTTTGGCGTTCACATTTATGAACGGCTACTACGGCGTGCAAAAATCGTCCAGTCAGGTGTGGACGCAGCGTGAGATGGATTTTACCAAGCGGTGAACAGACCACGGCAACCTCATTCCCAGGTTCTGTCTCCTACCCGTCTCTCTCTCTCTCTCGCTACGTTGAGACGGGTTGGAGAGAACCCTGGGGATGAGGCTGCAGACCTTTGCCGATTAGCACTCACCCGGGGTTCAACTATAATCAAGGTTTCCTTTCCTTTTCTTTATCCTCTCGGATATATTTCCCTACTACTTTTAGAGTATACAATCGTCAAATTGTGGACAAAAAGGGTTAAACTGAATTTGCCATTTAAACTTTCATGTCTGAATTCAAATTTGGCACTAACCCTGGTTAACTTTAACCCAGCTATGAACAACGGCTATGAAACCGGCCCAAGGGCCGGTTTCTCCAAAGTCCCGGTAACTTTTCGGGCCCGAAAATCTGTTTTTTGTTTGCCGTGTTTGCATTCAGGATCAAAGTTTCAATAATTTTTAAAATTTTAGAATAAAATTAACACTTAACGAAGCAAAATTGACCGCTTTGTGAGCTAGGAACTGTGCTACGATTCAACAGGTTTTGACTACAAAATTTGCCTTCGGACTCGAATGGTTACCGGGCCTTTCGAGAAACGGGCCTCTCAGTGCTAATTCATTTACCAAGTAGACAGCTCGCGTGCAAGGAAAAGGTTACGACAAAAGGACACAAGTGGAAAAAAAACTTTCTTTCACTGTTTCCTTACTCCCTTGATACAAATATGCACTAATCAAATACTACTTAAAAATTACCCATGAATTTATAACACTGAAAAATAACTACTAACAACTATGAACATACGGTTCGAAACTAAAAAACCTATAATCATCTAACCAACCACCAACCAATCACCACAGCCCTCAGTTTAGGCCAGTCATAGCGTGATGAAATACTTATTTGGGTTTGCTGTGCATTCTTTCGCCAGGAGAAATCGCATCACGCGTTTTGTTACTGTTGACTGGGACTGTTCCAGATTCTCAGTAAATCCGGGCGAGGGTAATTTCAAGCGAAAACAAGCGAGGACTAGGGGAAGGATAGTTTCTTCTTCTCCTTCTTTCTTTTCTTGCACTCGTTTTCCCTTTAGCCCGCGAATACAGTCGTCTCTACTCGCTTCTCGCTGCTTGACGGAGACGTTTGGCGAAACGTCCCTTGAGGTGGAGAAAGAGAGGAGCGAGGAGATATCTTTAACTCTCTATTTTTTTCCTCGTTGGAAAGTCACTTTGCCCAAACCAGGGGCGGATCCAGGATTTTTTTTAGGAGAAGGTGCACTCGTCTCTTGCTCTACTTCAACACCAATAAACCACATAGTTGTTTTATTTTTTTGCAGAATACCAGTTGGGGGGGGGGGGGGTTCGCCCCCTGCACCCTCCCCCTAGATCCGCCCCTGCAAACGAAGTTGACCACCAAAGCAGTTTTCCCGTATATTCTACACTTTGCGGTACAAGAACGTGTAAATCAACGGCTGATTTTTCATCGAAACACCGTTGTTTGTAATTACTTGGCATCACTGATAGTTAAACGTAGAAGGTAAGCAAAAAATTTTCCCTAAAGAGTACTACAGCAGAAACTTAGCCTGCTCAGTGCTGAAAGTGTAAGTATTCTGTTTGGGCAGCGAACACTAGAATACTGAAAAAATGTCCCTTTTGTTCGCAAAAGACGTTTGTGTTTAACTGAAACCGATGATGACGATTTCCTCAGCACGTGCATCTTCCCAAAAAATAATACACTTGTAATAAGAATACCAAGCTAGAGAGTTGCGATATGAATGCAGCCTAGTTCTTAAGTTTTTCTCTTGCCCTGTTATCCGCGCGAAGTCTGGGAAAGGGTGGGCGAGAGAGGGCGAGAACACCCAGGCACTACTGAGGCTGATAAGATTGTATAATTGCCTTATTACACTACGTATTCAATTTAGTTCAATTAGCATTAAAAAATTGGACATAACCAAACAAATATTATGTACAAAAAAGGAAAGAACAAAAAGGGAACTGAGATGTTGTTTCAAGCGACAGCTGTGTTGTCAAATCGGTGATAACGGCCGTCTTCGGTTTCCTCTGAGTCGTCCTTCTTGTAAAGACCTGCAATGCAATAAAAGCTTAAGTTAAAAAATGTCCGAAGGAAATCTTACAAAGTTCAACCTTCTACCCTGAAAATACGACTCAAAATCTTTCAACATCTTTCACCCTTTCATCCAGTGGGTAAGCAGAAGAGAAACCAATTGCGTTATCCACTGGATAGAGATTTTTCCAGTGGATAGCGCCATTTACCTTTTGAACAGCAACGAGCTGGCCACAATTACATACATGTATATAGCTACAGCTCAATGCGTTTAACAGTATTTGTGAGGTAAGGATTCAGCGAACGCGTATTATACAGTTTGGCAAGAGTAAATATGAGTGACGAGATAAAGTTTGAGTGAGGACAATGAATCACAATTTAGTCACATTGGCAAGGCCCGAAAAAAGTCCCGTTCGGTAGTCCGGCCGAGGCAAGAAGATATTGTTGCAAGGCAAGTATACCTTTAAAAGCTCACTTGCTTACTTTTCCAGTAGACAAGGGTCGAGGTAAGTCATTCTCTAAAAACATCATTTACTAAGACAAGCAAGAAGTGGTCCTTGGCAAGCAAAATGAGAGAGCTGTTTGCCCAAAGGACAAGGTGGAATTCAAGTGTTTTTTTTTTCGCGACCTGATTAGAATGGTGATTCACTTGTCTGTGAGGGGAAAAGAAAGCCCCTTCCCCCTCCACCCACCAACCATACATGTACCTCACATCACATCACATCACAGCACAATGCATGTCCGCGATAATGGCCGTTTTCACACTAGAGACGGATTATCGGTCTGAGACGGATAATCCATCCTCCAAATCCGTCAAAATTGACGGAAAAAGAGATGGATAAAGTTAGGCGGATTGTCCATCAAAAATTAATACCGTTCCATTTTCAAAGTAAGACGGTTTATCTGTCTGACGCAAATTATCCAACGGAAAACTCATCTCAATGTGCGCAGGTTAGTGTGAATACGGCCAATTTCAACAACTTGAAATACAAGAAGAATATTTATTTACCATATTTCTTCCTGATCTCATCGTGTTTCTTCTGTCGCTCCTCGCGCCTGAGAGAAAAAATAGTAAATCATTACGCGGTTACTTTTGACATCAATAATCACTCTAATTTTTTGCACCTTTTCCTGGTTCAATTAAGGTTGCTGGGAAACTGCCCACCCACCCCTCCCCTAATCCAACATTTTGCCGTAAGTGAGAAGTAAGTGTTAATGTTGACTTAGGGGAGGGGTAGGTGGGCAGTTTCTAGTTTCCCAGAACCTAAGTTGATCCCTTTTCCTTAGTTAGTAAAGCTGGTACACGTTTAGCATGACGCTTATACTTCACGTAAAACGCATTGGTCAACAATCATTATACCTTTCTTTGTGTTTGATTTCTATTTCCTCTCTTTGACGACGCCATTTAGTTTCTTCTTTATCCAGTCTATGAGATAAAGGGTAATAAAAAATCGTTTCAAGTCAGGTGTGCTGTGTCAGCAAACTGTATACTTGCAAAAGGAACTGTAACAGTTTGCATCGATTGATATTACATACCCTCGGAATCTCTTTTTCTTTCGGCAACAGCAGCAGTAGATGGTACATCCCAGAGCTAGCAGCACCACAAAACCAGTCACAGGTAAAGCAATGAGAAGAACTTTACCAGAGACTGAAAATCAAAGCATTATGTTGGTGAGAATAGCCTGAGATACAATGTAATACATTGACATTTCGCAACTGTGAGCCCACTGGTTTCTCTGCAAAATGACATCTGAGAAACAAGTGCAGAAATTTATCTATCAGCGTGTCACCAGCAAGATCTGGGAAGTGCTTGTGATTTAAGCGCATTTTCATAGCGGCACACCCAAATCAGAAGCACTACCCAGCTCTGACGGAAACCGATCGTTTCGCCTACAAGTCGTTTCGTCTACACTGAGGTCGATTCGCCAACATGATCTTACTTGTTTCGCCTGCACTGATTGACTTGACTGGCTGAGTTGTATAAATAAGAGTAAAGCTTACCGATGACTCTGACATGTCTAAACTAATTTATAATATTATCTTGTGAAAAAACAAAATCAGTCATCAAAGGCCCTTAAATATCCTGATTTTATTTCAGCAATACAGCAATGATAGTTCATTTGTTGACCTGCCTGAGTACGCGAACGATGTGAAGCAATTATGCCATTATCAAGTTACCTTGTACTACAAGTAAGATAATAACTTTGCAATGTTAATTTGCTCACCGACACACTGTTTGTATTTCCAATCCTGACCCTCGCAGGACTTGTGCGTAACGTCTTTCACCACATCAAATGGAATACAATGTTTGTCCTTTTCACAAAATGCACACTGGAAAGTAAGACAAAAAGAACCATATTTTTCATATGGATTGAAGATGTAACAATAAATTTTCTTCATGTAACTAAAATCACAGAGCTCAAACTAAATGCCAAAAGGCGTTCCTTGGCCTGTCATAACTTATAGTAGACAGAAATATTGTACTTTATTGGAACTGAGAAGTTTACCAGAGCGGACAGCTGACGGCTTATAGGAAAAAGAAATTAAAACAATAATTCCATACTNCTATCAGCGTGTCACCAGCAAGATCTGGGAAGTGCTTGTGATTTAAGCGCATTTTCATAGCGGCACACCCAAATCAGAAGCACTACCCAGCTCTGACGGAAACCGATCGTTTCGCCTACAAGTCGTTTCGTCTACACTGAGGTCGATTCGCCAACATAATCTTACTTGTTTCGCCTGCACTGATTGACTTGACTGGCTGAGTTGTATAAATAAGAGTAAAGCTTACCGATGACTCTGACATGTCTAAACTAATTTATAATATTATCTTGTGAAAAAACAAAATCAGTCATCAAAGGCCCTTAAATATCCTGATTTTATTTCAGCAATACAGCGATGATAGTTCATTTGTTGACCTGCCTGAGTACGCGAACGATGTGGAGCAATTATGCCATTATCAAGTTACCTTGTACTACAAGTAAGATAATAACTTTGCAATGTTAATTTGCTCACCGACACACTGTTTGTATTTCCAATCCTGACCCTCGCAGGACTTGTGCGTAACGTCTTTCACCACATCAAATGGAATACAATGTTTGTCCTTTTCACAAAATGCACACTGGAAAGTAAGACAAAAAGAACCATATTTTTCATATGGATTGAAGATGTAACAATAAATTTTCTTCATGTAACTAAAATCACAGAGCTCAAACTAAATGCCAAAAGGCGTTCCTTGGCCTGTCATAACTTATAGTAGACAGAAATATTGTACTTTATTGGAACTGAGAAGTTTACCAGAGCGGACAGCTGACGGCTTATAGGAAAAAGAAATTAAAACAATAATTCCATACTGATCCTGGACACCATCCCATCCTGAAGAGCTGGGTTGATCAAAGATGGATTGAGATAACCCAGGATTAGTCCAGAATTTGAATTCAGTTTAAATATTTTTGCATTCAACTGGATGATTAGATACTCTAAAAAGAATAGACAAAATTATGGCTGAAAAATCTATGGAACATACGACCCAGGTTAGTGCTAATAGGCCACTTGCACCAAGAGGACATGAAAACAATGCTTCCTTTAGTTAAAAAATGAGTTGGAATCTTGCTGATGCCAAAATTGACAAAGCACGTAAAGATTATCTTACGTCCGAAATTTGTTAGAGGAAATGCATTTAAGGGAGATATTTTATGGCACTTTGATTTTTCAACAAAGTAGGATGATTTATACTCATTAATATTTGGCCGCCATTTTGGAGGGCAAAAGTATGCCCTCCAAAATGGCGGCCAAAACTACTTTTTGCCTGTATCGTCAAACGGTTGACAGTTATGCTCAGATGTGCTGTACACATTACCATATCATCTTTTCAACATTTTCCTTGAAGTTTACATGTAAGTGCAAAATTTGTGTTCAGAAAGTAATTAATTCACAAATTATTTTAAAAATCATATTTTGGTCATGTGACCTGCTGCAAACTTACTCATTCTCAGAAAATGATGTGGGTTTGAAAAACCAAATCACTATTATTTTGTTTAAGATATGACTCACTAATTGTTTTTCAAAGGCAAAATCATATAACTTTCATTTTTACAAAAATGATATCACATGACCTCTTAGTGCAAATGCCCTATTAGCCTTCGAACAACTAGCCCCAGAAATTATCTAAATGACTACAAAGAGACTAACAGATTATCATCTAATATTAACTTGGTGACGAGACATGGCTAAATTGGGCATGCAAACACGAATTGAACTTAAATACTGAGTCAGGCAGAAATGTTTTTTCGGTTGGTGTTGTTGTGAGTCTCTTAGACTTTGGCTTCACACTGTGAGAGATTAACCAGATCAACTCCCACAACCCTTGACAGAAAGTGAACAATTAACACTACCTGGCTTATGACTAGCAAAGAATGAAGACAATTTATTGATTTCCAAATCCTGAAACGTTCAGAGTAATGTTCTACATTATAAATTGCCAAAAATGAATTTTTTGTAATCTGTTTATAAATCCACAAGGCTGCACTGAGGAGTTCTTAAGAACTTGTTTAAACATGTGCATTCATTCCTGATTGAATTAGAATTTAGTCTTGAGGAGACGGGAAAACCAAAGTACGCATAGTAAAGCCTCTCAGAAGAAGGGAGAGAACCAACAACAAACCCAACCCACAAATGACGTCGATGCCAGGATTTGAACCTGGGCCACATTACTGGGAGGCAAGAGCTGTCATGCACCACTGTGCCAACCTTGGTTAGAAGGCACACTCAGTAGTATTTAAACTGTATTCATTTGGTATTCAATAAATTTGTGTACTGAGGTTATTCATTTCATAAATTTGTTTATTAAAAACCACCTTACCCCATCCTGTTTAACACATTCATCACATGACTTGTTGCTAAATTTATTGCATTTGTCCTCTAGAATCAAAGACAACAAAGTAATAAATTATCAATTTCTTCGAAAACACATATAAATCAATGTCTCAATCTTTGCATCCTACCGGATGCATGTCATGAATTAGTCTGCATCCATAGGTAATTATTACAAATCATCATGGACACAGGACACTTGGGTAGGAGCTCTCACACACGCAAAGTGTGCGCAGTGGAGCACCATGGGTGAGATAACTTGGTTATCCATGCATCCAAGAAATGTTAGTAGTATTTTAGCTCTGTCTGCACCATGGGATAACAAATGTGTAATGACCTTTTTTACTTTGAGTGGTACTTGGTGATAGACGTCCATGTTACAGTCATCTTGGACACCCGGACTTTTAGAGAGGAAAAACAACAACAAAGCCGAGTCTCTTCTTTGAATAAGTTTTAATGTCTAGGCTGACATGGATAACATGGAAAGAACAAGAGCGAGAGATAAAAACAAAGGAGACAAATTTTTTTAAAAACACATGAAAATTTCATAGCAGTAGTGAGAAAATGAGGAATGTTTTTAATAGCAGCCAGTAAGATGAAAATGATTGGCAATGCAAAAGAAAGTGAACAGGAACACAAGCAGCAATTTATTTTTAGTGAGAACATACAACATTTCCTCCATAAAAAGTGCATACACTAGAAAGCTTCACGTTGTAGTCGTGCAACAATAAAGGTAAAGAAATGTCCAAAAAAAAAAGTGTGCTGCATGTGCAAAGTTGTTTTCTTTGCTAGTTAGACCTGTTGTTGTTAAAGCTGTTTTTTTGTTGTTGTTTTCAATGCCGTCACTGTTTAGCATCACATGATTTTATTTTTGTGTGAGTAAATTATAAGTATAGTAACGAGAGCTTCACTTTTAGCCCTGGCTAAATCTATTTGTTAAGTTTAGTCATAACTACCAACCGTATTATAACAGGGCTTCACAAGGTGTGTGGGTCTGAAAACACACAATTTGATCAAATCCACACAATCCCATACAATTCCTAAAAAATCTTCACAATACTGAGTGATGCACTTAGGTTTTTTAGAAATTTGTTTTACTCTTCATAAACAGGATTTTTTTAGAACTTACTTGGCCTTTTGAGGTCATTTTCTTTGCGAAAACAACACTGTTTTCACTTTTCTTCAAACCACACCGGGTTGGTTGACTTTGACATATAGTCATGAAAAGCAATTACTGAGTATTCTCTGAAGCTCTGCACAGTCCCAGGCACTAGTCATGTAGTGACATACATTACAACTTGGATATAGTTAATTTTTTATTTCAGTTAATTTTCATTTTCCCTGGTTTCAAACTCATTAACACACATTACCATACCCAAAAACAAATGAAAAAAAAAATTGACTGAAATAAAAAAATAAACTGCAACAGATATCTGTCTGGATTTGCAAAAAGTTACCTCCAGGATTTTTTAGCAACAGTCTCATTGGTGGATTGTTCAGTACCTGGCCATTTTTTTTTTCTTATGATGCTTTCAGTACAAAAAAACCCTAACAAACTGCAGTAGACAATAAGATAATGTGTTTATAATGCTGTTTCTATCTCCCCCATCCCCCCCCTTCCACCTATCACTTCCCATAATTCACCCTGTGTCATAAAACACTATTAAATTTGAAATCAGCGCACGTGGTAAGTTCTTTTCCATGGTCGGTTAATTTTCTAGATTTCACTTTGGCCGCATGCAGCAAAGTTTTCCGGAAGGCATCATTGAGCCTTATGAAGGAGCAAGTCTCATGAAAGTCTGCCGTTGTCCGATATGTTACCATATTTTGTCTCATTTTGGCTAAATGGGTGAAACACTGATCTCGGGCTTGAGACAGAAAGGCATCACATTGCGAGCTTTGATGTGGGTCGTGACGAGTCTCTGGCCTCAAAAAGTAGTTTGTAGGAGTCACATCTACTTGGCGAGAACAACATTGATGCATATTTCTGACCAGACCAGAGACTTAGTTAAAAATTGTTTTGAAGGCCAGCCTCCATGTGTCCCTTTCAAAAGGGCTCGTCTACATTCGGAATCTTGAATAAATCCACTGTGTCATGTGACGATTTATGTGGAGAAGGCGAGAGTTGTTGAGCGAGAGTAATTTGATGATATTTGGTCCATATTAAGTGTGGAAACATTGTGCCTGGTTGGCTGAGGATATTTCTTTCAGTGTCGCAAACGTGGTTAATGGTGTGATTGGGCAATTCCAGAAAATATCCATACCCAACCACGGACAGCTTCCATGTTTTACCCCCCCCTTGCCTTCGGAAATTCCAAAATGCGTTACCCCCCCCATGCCCTCAGAATTCCATAATCGTGAACCCTCCTCCCCTTCAGAATTTCTGTTTTTTTTAAAGTACATTTTCGACTTGGCAACGCCTATATGAACAAACGAACATGAATTTATGCCTCCTCAAGGCTGTGATCTAGCGGTGCCAGGTGACAAGCTTTACTCTTCAGTGACAAGAAAAACCTACCGCTAGTGGCCAGGCTGTGCAAACTCCTTTTTAAGTCCGAATTTGGCTATAAAAATAAACACCACTTAAGGTAATTTTACTCCTCTTTGTTTTCTTGCGCTGTTTTGACGTTTACAAAGCAAAATAGCTCAAATTCAGACTGTTAAAATCTCTTCGGCAGTCAAATATACTGTCGAGTTGTGTTGCGTCCTTTTATAGGTCATGTAGTGTGCATGAAAAGTGTTCTAATCTGACAGGCCTTCCTTGGAAGCGAGGGACTGGTGCAAGTTTTCCACTGTTCATTGGACGGGAGAAACAAGAAATTTGCAAGCGGTATTAAAGATACATTTTCAGTTTTTATTCATGTGACAAGAAATTCATCAAGGTAAATGTGAAACCAACGTTTTACTGTTCACTTCTATGAGTTATGAGCGTAAACACGTGTCTGATCTATCGATGCTTGTCTTCTGCTTCCGCGGTCATACGTTCCTGGTTTATTTACGAACTACAAAAGTCCACAACAATAGCGCTTTCAAGGAACTCACTCTACACTTTCTACTCCAGAAATCCCACCTGTGGAATTCCCCCATGCCTTCGGATTTCAAATCGTAAATACCCCCCCATGCCCTCAAAATTCCATAATCATGAACCCCCCCTCCTCTTCCGAAATCCTAAAAGCCGTCCGTGGTATAGCATGGATATTTTCTGGAATCGCCCATTTCCTGAAGTTGTTGACAGACAGAATTCAGGTATGTTGTGGTGCTCATGTTCTAAGAATATCATGCACAAGCATAAAAATGTTTCGTGAGTGTTTAGTTGAAGTGACTTTGTCTTAGACAACCGATTCTGGGCTCAAGAAAGGTGGATTCTAGGTCTGTTATAGTCAGGTATCTCGCTATGAGCCTCATAGATAATTGAGAGACTGTAATTTCATAATTTCTGTGCTTTTAAATGTTGTTCATTTCATTACAAATCTCTCGCTATTGCCAAGGACTTCCTGCGTGTAGCCAGTGATTAATTTGTCCTTTACAAGCCCTAACTAGCGACTTTCAACTGCTTTTTACTCACCTCAAGGGTCAAATCGTTAAAATGCACTTGAAATTTCTGTACAGAGTATACCTTTTTATAAATTCAGACAGATATACATAATATATTGTACTTAACGTAAGTCAACGATTCACTGTTGGGTGATTTCCTCTAAAAGCTGTTAAAGTGTGGATCACAGACAATGGCCAGAAATCAAAAACCATACTCTTGAATACATGTACGTGTATGGCTGGGCATCTTAATTTGAGTTACCTATATACCATGGTCATCCAATGGGAATTACATGCTGTAAGTAGGCAAGTTATAATATAATATTAGCCTTTCCAGTTCTTTCATGTCCCGACCACCACTTATCACTGAAACCAGCCCACTATATAGACAAGTCCTGCCCTGTATGTAATCAAAATTAATGCTTGATAAAAGTTTCCCAACATAACATTGTTTACATAACGTTAAAAGTGAACACTCTAGCAAAGTGTTTATCAATAAAAATCAATATATCATATCTTGCATATTGGATGAAGTTTTCCACAAAGCCCTGTAGAGTAATTCAACCATACAGTTATCCTCGTCCAGTACAAGTTTAATACACATAAGCTTAGTCATAATAAAAAGCAGCAAACATTTTTAATATCACTTGGACAAAGGTTCAAAGAGAATTTAGTATACGCTACCCAAACAGAGTGGCATTTAAGCTTACACAAAACTGTCTACGCACATTTGCAATACAAATACAATATTTCAATATCCAAGTTATAAAGTATGATGTAAGATTATTTTCGAAAGCCAGAACAACAAAAAATAACATCGCTGTGAAATTTTAATACCGTCAAGGTTAAAGTACTAACTCGCATTCGCATGGAAATGAAAACCGTCTGCAGTCTGTTAATCAACGAAAACGAAACCATTGGCACATAAAAAAGTTAAGCACAAGGATCGTCTGAGGTTCGTATAAAACATGATTCGCCGATCTCGTGACGACTTTGATTCGGCATATTTTCGTCCATTTCTTTCAGTCAAGCTAGACTTTAAAACGGTTTCATTACGTGTACAGACCTTACATATCTTTTTTAAATTGAAAGTTGTAGAGCTTTGACCAAATCGAATCGATCATGAACGCAACATTGGCGAGCATATGCCGTCTAAAGTTTCAAGTTGCCTCGTTAATCACTCACCTTTCGTTTCACTAGTTCCTACGGACACTTCTAAAAGGTAAATCTGTATGAAGCACAGAATTAGAAGCAAAAAGGCTGTCCAACTTTTCTGTAAACGAAGCATCGTGACTCTAAATTAGACAAAGTTCCTTTCTAAAAACATGAAGTAAAATCTCGATTAGAAATGACGTCATAACTGCGTTGCTGCACGTAACCTCGTTACCAGGTTCTTTGAACGATCGTGCAGCCGGAAAGGCGTCATGATGTATTAACCAGATAACTCAAGAGGCTAGGTGATTGTTGTTTTCTTTGTCAAACGAAATTTGATTTTTCCCACGAATCGCTATTTCGCCACGGCCGTTTTTTAAAATAGCGAGTCCAGTTTCCTACGGCCGAGATGCCCCTGATAAAATTAGTAGGGGCGTTTTGGTCTGAAAACGGGTGTACACTTTGCCCATTTTCAGGGTCTGGAATCGGGTATGGTTTTCGGGGGAACTATGGGTGTTTGTGAACTTATTTATCGTTTCAATTCCAAATGAGTAAGAAAGAAAGAGAAATATGCGAATTCGACTAATCGGCAGTCGCCGGCGGATAGCTTGAAAATTTCTGCGTTTGTACCATAGGGACACCAGATTAGGATGCGTTCTGACGAACGTGACCCGTGTGGATTTCCAATGTCGTTTTGCTGCACGATAGACCCTTTGCAGCTAGTCGGAAGTTATTAGGGGGCTTAAGCAAAGGCGTTTCTAAGCGAAACACGTCAACCGGAAGTGAGTTCTTTTCCATTAGTCAATGCCGCGGCCTTGACGCCACCACATGGATTAGTATTGCTAAGTGACCAGTTCCCTTATAGAGACAATTTGCCCACAAAATTGGGTAATATCACTGGCAGGAATATAATATCACATGCGTCTCTCAGAAATGTTTTTCACTGGTTAAGCTCCCTTTTCAAGTGATACAAATCCGCATTGCTGAAGAGCAAGAGAGACACTGGAACAGAAAAAAACAACAACAAAAACAAAAACAAAAAACAAAGAAAGATACCTTTTAAAATGATGTCAGTCCTTTTTTGTCTTCTGCGAGGGCATCTCTTGCTCTCCAACTTGAACACAGTGTACCACGTGAATGATTATATGCTGATGACTAGCTGCAAAGGGCCTATTCCGGACTTGTAGCAAATGTCGCTAACAACGGCAGCCGCCTTACAATCAGAGAGGTGCATGAAAAGTATAGTGTGCAACACACACATCACTCGCACCGCATATTTTGTATTCCTTTGCCATGCATAATATGAAATAAAAGTTAAACTCTTTGTCAAAATGTTTTTATTGAGCATGTCTTGTACACCTGTCATAGCGTGTGCCCCGCCGGTAGAGGTTTCTCTGTTGAGTGGCTTTTAACGTTTTACGAAGTCGTTCGCGTCTCTTGTTTGCGGCGTAGTCAGGTTTGTTTACGCCCAACTACTTGAGTGATAAGAGACACAAACGACTTCGTGAACTTTAAAAACGGGATGTAAGAGAGCAACCTCCGCGCTCGCAGGGTACATCGAGCCTCCAAGGGCCTGTTTACATGGAGGTGGGGGACCACAGGAAAATAAGGTAACATGTGGTTGCTCACCCCGCCTAACATGTAAACGTGATCACATTAAAAGGACAGGCAGGCTACCCCACCTAAGCGGGTTACCTCACCTACCTGGGGTCCCCCACCTCCATGTAAACAGGCCCTAACAAGAGAGAATGAGTTAGTTTATTTTCTCTTCCATCTAATGAACAAGAGTGGACGTTAAGGGTTAATAAACTGTGCACTTTTTAAACTTAGCGTAAACTGGAATGTACAATTCAATAATACAAACAGACGTTTTGCCATAATAAAAAGTTTTTTTGTACACAATTAAGGCGTTATGAACGTTGTTTTGACTTGCAATTGCAAAAAAATCGTTATAACTTAGTTTCTAACAATATTGCACATTTTGATACCCGCAAAAGACCTTTCCACATTACCATCCAGTTAGAACACTAATGGAACAACAAAAGAGGACGCTTTGGGACAAATCACTTTATTTTNTGAACGTTGTTTTGACTTGCAATTGCAAAAAAATCGTTATAACTTAGTTTCTAACAATATTGCACATTTTGATACCCGCAAAAGACCTTTCCACATTACCATCCAGTTAGAACACTAATGGAACAACAAAAGAGGACGCTTTGGGACAAATCACTTTATTTTCATACTCCAAGCTTTGAGCTTTGAGCCGTTCCAGTTCCTCAGGTCAGTACGTACAAATATGCCAGACCTAGAGAGAATTAAATGCCAGAGAGCTAGGAATCTAGCAAATTGTTTATCAATAAAAATCAATATATTATATCTTGTATATTAGATAAAGTTTTCCACAAAGCCCTGTAGAATAATTCAACCATACAGTTATCCTCGTACAGTACTTAATACACATAAGCTTAGTCATGATAAAAAAAACAGCAAACATTTTTAAAGTCACTTGGACGAAGGTTCAAAGAGAATTTAGTATCCGCAGTTGTGCGGCAATTTTGCTTAAGAGATTCACCCAAACAGAAGATCTACGCACATGTACAATACAAACAAATTATTTCAATATCCAACTTAAAAAGTATTATGTAAGATTATTTCCGAAAGCCAGAACAACAAAAATTAACATTGCTGAGAAATTTTAATACCATCAAGGTTAAAGTACTGACTCGCATCCGTATGGAGGTGAAAACCGTCTACAGTCTGTTAATTACACGAAAACGAAACCATTGGCACTCAAAAAAGTTAAGCATAAGGATCGTCTGAGGTTCGTATAAAATTAAACTTATGCACTTGATTCGCCGGTCGAACAACATTGGCAAGGCATATGCCGTCTAAAGTTTCAAGTTGCCTCGTTAATCAAACACCTTGCGTTTCACTAGTTCCTACGGACACTTCTAAAAGGTAAATCTGTATGAAGCACAGAATTAGAAGCGAAAAGGCTGTCCAACTTTTCTGTGAACGACGCATCGTGACTCTAAATTAGACAAAGTTCCTTTCTAAAAACATGAAGGAGGCCGTGCCAGGGTAAATTCCGACAAGCGACATGACCCAAAAAGTATAAGTAGCGACAGAGCATAAAATGAAATCGCGACAAGCGACAACCTCCTTCGGCCAAACTGCGACTGTGACGGCAAAGCCAAGAACATGCGACAAAGAACGGTGGTTTGGCTAATTTATCACCAGTTTGAATGCCAAGAAGAAGTAATTTTCGTTAATTTTCCTTGCGCTGGAGGTGGGGGACCCTAGGTAAGTGAGGTAACATGTGGGGGCTCACCCCGCCTAACATGTAAACGTGATCACATTAAAATGAGAGATTAGATGGACAGGCGGGTTACCCCACCTAAGCGGGTTACCTCACCTACCTGGGGTCCCCCACCTCCATGTAAACAGGCCCTAACAAGAGAGAATGAGCTAGCTTATTTTCTCTTGCGTCTAATGAACAAGAGTGGACGTTAAGGGTTAATTAACTGTGCCACTTTTTAAACTTAGCGTAAACTGGAATGTACAATTCAATAATATAAGCAGACGTTTTGCCATAATAAAAAGTTTTTTTGTACACAATTAAAGGGTTATGAACGTTGTTTTTGACTTGCAATTGCAAAAAAATCGTTATAACTTTAGTTACTAACAATATTGCACATTTTGATACCCGCAAAAGACCTTTCCACATTATCATCCAGTTAGCACACTAATGAAACAATAAAAGGTCAAGCCCAAGAGGACGCTTTGGGACAAATCACTTTATTTTTTCACCCCAAACTTTGAGCTGGTTACATTGAATGCTTGAATTGCGAACGGTCTACACTGATTTTGATACATTGTTATGTCAAATTAAAACATATTTAGTATTCAGCACACAAAAGATGAGGATTGCAATAGGCCTTTTCTGAGTTGCTCCAAGTCTCTGTCACAAATTAAAGCCAGGCTAAGTACGAAGCTATTGATATGAAAATTATTTATGTTTGATTCTCATGCAAATAAAACTCACGCATCGTGCATGATCACACAAGAAAGGTTGTGCACTTTGCCTCGTTTTGAAAGTGAGACTCTGGAACTCGATTTACATGAAGTCAGTAAGTTGTTTGAAAATTCGATCGCAAAATCCTCTTTCGAGTTAACCAAACATGAGACAACTGCCCTTTAGCTCTCGATGTAAAAAGGAAACGAGGATTTAAATTATGATATAAGGTGTTATGTAACTCGTTCTATTTTGTGAAAGAGCCATTTTTTGTGGTGGTGATCGAATAAAGGTGTTTGTTTTCAAGTCCTCGTGCACTTAAACATTCCTTCATTTTTGACAATATTTAGGATCCTGTTTTGACCAAGTGCACTTCCGCCCGTCTTCTCTCGCCTCTGCTAGTAAATACCCCAATATGCACTCGACTGTCTGCAGTCGACTGAGCCCGAGAAGAAAAACTCCCTTTTAAAACACTGCCATGAAGTCTTGCGGTGGCACTTTGAATCCGAGAAGCAGTACTTCTAGTCATTGGATTTTTCACACCGCTAAGCAATTCATGACTTTTACCTGAGGAAAATGTAAAGAATTTTCTATATAAGAAAACATTTTTAAACTCCCCTAGGGACTAGGTTGATTAAGGCGTGAAGAACCAATAGAATTAGAATTCAAGGTGCTTTGTAACGAGAGGCTGAGGTTGACCTTTTTTTGATACAAACCTCTTTCTTTTTGTTATGAAAATTTTGCTGAAAAAATAATAGTTAGTTTAACAACTTACATAATAAAGCTATCAAAACAAGGTCAACTCCAGCCTCGTTTGCACCTTTAACTGTAACATGGATTAATGTACAACAAAAGTAAGATTTCTAAGCATTTTTGTGCAATTTTGGGGCGTAACCGGCGTTGCAAGATAACTTTGTCCTCAATTAAAACCCAAAAATGTAATGATCCAATAAATTTGTGGAATGACCTTAATTGTAAATCTTGGTCAACCATTTTGAATTTTATCTAAAAACTAGTGACCTAGCAGCCCGGCTACTTTCATCTTGCGCCCATGATCTGCCTCAGGGGGGAGGATTTTGCTCTTTTTTTTTACAGGAACTTCATAAATTGTCTACTAAAAC